GATGTCCCATATGGTCACTGGTTCGAGTCCTGGCTGCTCTACACTTGTGATCCAGCTCTCTGCTATTGCGTGGGCAGTAGAAGCAGTAGAAACAGTAGAAGATGGCCCAACTCCTTGGACCCCTGCACCCACGTGGGAGACCCAAAAGAAGTTCCTGACTCCTGGCTTCAGATCGGCGCAGCTCCGGACGTTGTGGCCATTTGGGGAGTGAACCAGAGGATGGAAGATCTCTCCCTCTCTCTCTGCCTCTGCCTTTGCCTTTTTGTAACTCTGCCTTTCAAATAAATACATCCTTAAAAAAAGAAAGATTAGCTCATTATCCTACCACATTTCTTGCTGGGTTGGTTCTCTTTTCTCTTAATTTCTGATGTTTCTGTTGCTTCTTGGAAGAATTTTACTGGAAGGAGGCACCTCCCAGGCTACTTACTGAACTAAATTCCCGCAGGTTCTCACTTTTCTTTGCTTTACAAATGAAGAAATGCAAGAAGTGTCAGAGAAAATGACTAACAGGCCTGCGATTAGGGACAGAGCTGGGATACATTCCATCTCCACTGAAGGTGGCGCTGACTGGCAGCCGAGATTCTGAAGTTGAAATGAAAGAAGGCCAAGGACAACGCACTCTGCCTCATCTGTGTTTTCTGTAATCGCTGTGCCCATGGGCTTCATACCTCAGCTACAAGTGGATGACCCCTGCCGCTGGGTCAGAGAAGGCCCCGCAATGGACGCCGGGGCGGGGGCCGGCGGCCCACACGCTGCAGTGGGTGACAAGCTCTTGGAGAGAAATGGCAGCACAGGTGCCTGTCACACAGCTTTTCCCACCCAGTGGCTCAGAAACAGCCACTAAGGGCAGCAGACTCCCCGCCGCAGCCATGGCAGCTACAAACCCACGGGAAGCCTTGGCGCACAGTAGCAGGGACCTCTCCTGACAGTCCCTTGTCAGGTAGTCAAAGTTGTCCATGATGACAGCCACAAAGAGATTGATGATCTGCAGAGAACAAGGAGTAAAATGAGGCACTCGAAGAGGACTTTCCTACACCCTTGCCTCTTGAATCTACCTTGCCAGCTAGTGCCCTTGCTCAGCAGAAGCCAAAATCTCTAAATCCCAGCATCACGTTGCCATTTAAACAGCAGCTCCTAGATCCTGGGTCTCTTGGACATAAACTTGACCTGGCTCCCCTGAGAGTTGTATGTAATGAGCCCACATGTAGGCTGGACATCTTCCCTTACACCAAGTTGCTGGGACAGGCTATCTTCTTTTCCTCACTCCTCAGCAAGGTTCCAAAAGACTGTAAGCTCCCTCTAGGCCTCCATACATCACCTCTGTCCTCTGGGACAACCCCACCAGGACAAGAGCCAAGAATGAACAGAAAGATGCTGGCTGAACTTGCTCTTGCTCTGGCCCAGGGCTTCCTGCCTGTATCTTTGTGTGGCTGGGCATTCCTAAGAAGTCAGCTTCTCTGATGGGGTTACCCTGATCATGAGCTGCAGAGACCAAGGTGCTGGGCTGCCCCGTCACTGTTGAGGCCCTCCTTGGCTTACCAGGAAGGCACAAAGCATGTAGAAGCTGATGAAGTAGAAGACGGTGAAGCTGCTGCCGCAGGGGGTCTCCCCTTCTGTGCTGTTGTGGGGCTCAGACTCTGGGGCACACTTCTTGCCTGGCATGCAGGCCAGCATGATATCCTGCCAAGCCTCCCCCGTGGCACACCTGAGGGAGAGGTGAGAGAACCCAAGATCCCTAAAGCCAACCTCACTCACAGATGCAGCTGGAGCCCCCCGCCCCCTCCCCATGGGGAATTATTGAATGAGTGTGATGTTTATCACTCCCTGAATGCTCTGATGCAGTCATAAAAGATGAAAACATATAGCATAATTTTGAGTGTTCTGAAGTTTTAAACAGCGACACATTATACCTTTTCTATAAACGCATCCTTTTTGGCTCTCAATATTAAATTTTTGAGGTTTAGCCACCTGGGTATATTTTAGCTCTAGTGCCTTCATGTTAGCTGCTGTACAGGAGTACAGTCTATAAGCACAGCATTAAGACAATCCAGAGGTGGGTATTTGGCTTAGTGATTAATTAAGGTATCTGCTTCCCACAGCAGAGTACCCAGGTTTGGTAGCCAACTCCAGCTCCTGATTCCAGCTCCCTGCCAATGCAGACCCTGGGAGGCAGTGGTGAGGGCTCAAGTGATTGGGTTCCTGCCACCCACGAGAGACCTGAATTCAGTTCCTGGCTCCTAGCTTTGGCCTTAGCCCAGTCTTAGCTGACTGTGGGCATCTGGGGAATGAACCAGCACATGGGAGCTCCTGCCCTATCTGTCTCTTCCTCTCAAATTAATTTTTTAAAAAATCTACCTTCCTGTTAAGGAATGTTTAGAATTTTGTTTTTAGCTTTATTTATTTATTTGAAAGACAGAATGATAGAGAAGGAAAGACAGACAGACCTTCCACCTGCTGATTTACTACTCAAAAGCCCACAACAGCATGGGCTGGGCCAGGTCAAAGTCAGGAGCCAGGAACGACACCCAGGTCTTCCACATGGGTGGCAGGAACCTAAGTACAAAGTCCATCATCTGAGACCTCCCAGGCTCATTTTAATCTAGCAGGAAGCTAGATTAAGAATGGAGGTTGAGGGGCAGGCGCTGTGGCACAGTGGGTTAACGCTCTAGCCTGAAGCGCCGGAATCTCATATGGGCACTGGTTCAAGACCCAGCTGCTCCACTTCCAGTCCAGCTCTCTGCTATGGCCTGGGAAAGCAGTAGAAGATGGCCCAAGTCTTTGAGCCCCTGTACCCATGTGGGAGACCTGGAAGAAGCTCCTGAATCCTGGCTTTGGATCGGCACAGCTCCAGCCATTGCGGTCAATTGGGAAGTCAACAAGCGGATGGAAGACCTCTCTCTCTTTCTCTGCCTCTCCTCTCTCTGTGTAACTCTGACTTGTAAATAAATAAATATTTTTTTAGAAAATTGGAGCCACTGGGTGGGAAAAGCTGTGTGACTTGGTCCCAGGCACTTCAATATGGAATTTCAGGTATCTCAAATGGTGGCTTAACCCACTGTGCTATAATGCGCTCCACCCCTTTTCTATTACAAATAACACAGAAATAAACATGCAAGTCCACACTGTAGGTATCTGCTTAGAAGTGGAACTGCTAGTTGAAAGTACATGTGCCTTCACTGGTACCAGGCATTTCTTGCTCTCTAAGTGTTTGTCCAGTTTCGACTCCCATCATCAGTATGGGAGAAGTGTTATTAGAATTGCATCAACTCGTGGTATTAGTAGTGAATTCTTAAAAGTGTCATTCATACAGTAAGTGGCAATGATATTTAATGGTTTTTTAAAATTATTTTTATTGTTTTGACAGGCAGAGTTAGACAGTGAGAGAGAGACAGAGAGAAAGGTCTTTCTTCCACTGGTTCACCCCCCAAATGGCTGCTACAGCCCGCGCGCTGCGCTGATCCTAGCCAGGAGTCAGGTGCTTCCTCCTGGTCTCCCATGCGGGTGCAGGGACCCAAGCATTTGGGCCATCCTCCACTGCCTTCCCAGGCCACAGCAGAGAGCTGGACTGGAAGAGGAGCAACTGGGACCAGAACCAGGTGCCTCAACTGGGACTAGAACCTGGGGTGCTGGTGCCGCAGGTGGAGGATTAGCCCGTGGCGCCAGCCCTCTAATGGCTGTTTTAAAATGAACTGAAAATTTTATCTTCAGTTAAACTGCATGTTCACATTTGAGCTTGTTGGACTCTGGGTTATTTTGGTTGTTCAATTTGTAGGATTATTTATATTTTCTTCATATATCCATCTTTTGGTAATTATATGCATTACAAGAATCTTCCTCCAGTCTGTAGCTTGCTTCTTGCTCTATTTGTAGCATATTTTGATGAATCTAAGTCTTAAATTTCAATGTGGCCAAATTCCTTTTTTTTTTCTTCTACATTTTATGCTTTTTGCATCTTACTTAAAAACCCCATTCGGTGGGGGGCTGCATTGTGGCATAGTGGGTAAAGCCACTGCCTGTGATGCCAGCATCCTGTATGGGCACCAGTTTGAGTCCCAGCTGATCCACTTCCAACCCGTTCCCTGTTAATTCATCTGGGAAAGCAGAGGAGGATGGCCCAAGTGCTTGAGTCCATGCACCCATGTGGGAGACACAGAAGAAGTTCCTGGCTCCTGGCTTCAGTCTGGGCCAGCCCTGGCTATAGCAGCCATTTGGGGAGTGAACTTGCAGATGGAAGATCTCTGTCTCTCTGTCTCTCTCTCTGCCTTTCAAGTACATAAAATAAATCTTAAAAAAAAAAGCAGCCTTCAGTGCTGGCATTGTGATACAGTGGGTTAAGCCACCACCTGTGACACTGACATCCTTTCTGAACATGGGTTCAAATTATGGTGCTCCACTTCTGATCCAGCTCCCTGCTAATGTATGTGGGAAGGCAGAAAAAGATGATGGCTTAAGTGCTTGGGCCCCTATCATTTATGTGGGAGACCCAGATGGGAGTTCCAGGCTCGGAGCTTCAGCCTGGCCCAGCCCTGGCCATTGCAGTCATTTGGGATGTGAACCAGTGGATGGAAAAAAATCTCTGTCTCTCCCCTTTCTATAACTGTGCCTTTCAAATAAATAATAAATCTTTAAAAAAAAATCCTTCCCTATTCTAGGTCACAAAGGTATTTTCCTCTATATTTTTTGAAAGGTTCTAAAGTCTTTTCACAATAACTTATAAACCTGAATTACTGTATTTTTGTGTTCAACATTAGGTATGCATATGCTTTTATCTCCCGGTGGGAGCTGGGGCAAGGAACCGCTTCTGTTCTGCTCAGAAAGACTGGCGACACACTGGAGCCAGAGGCCTGGAGCCCTTGGCTTCAACCCTGCCCCGCGGCCCCAGTGACAATGGCCGGGAGATCTCCCTCGCTTTTGAACGTTGGGTTCCACCCCTGCCACGCCTCCTGAGAGCTGCTTGCCAGCGCCACGAGCGCAGTGACGCTCACCCGCACGCACGCCGGCACGCACGCGCAGTGTTCAAACTAACGGAAGGACCAGACCGGCGGCTGAGGGGCCTGGATGGCAGCGGGGAGTGGGGTTCCTGCTCAGGTGAGTTTCTCCAGTGTCTTCAGGATGCGCAGGGTCGGGGCCAAATCGAGGGCAGTATGGACAGCGTGGGTGGCGAGCTGGAGTTCAGGCTTCAAAAGGTCCACCTGCGTGTCCGTACGACCCCGTCCCCTCCATTACAGCAGCCCGACTGTGCCCACTTCACCAGCCCGGCTGTTAGGGCAGGAGCACCTTCGGGGAGCTGTGGGGGTAGGCAATGGACATGACAACAGCAGGCGGCACAGTGGGCACAAGGGCATAGAGAGGGGGACAGGGATGATGACATGAACCAGGAGATGGTAGCCAGGCTCCTGTTCCCCGGCCTGGGTACCCTGAAGCCCTTCGCCAAGGCAACCGGGCCGAGACCCTGGCTGTGGATCTGAGGCCCAGAAGCATGCTCTGGAGGCGATGGAGGACATGGCAGCTGGAATGTGGCTGTGATGTGGAGACAAATTCTGTGGAGGGGAAGATGGGGCAATGCCATGGTAAGGTCTACCTCCCCCCAGGACACCCACGTGGCCAGTGTCTCTCCACTATGGCCACACCCCTCCATACCTCCAACCTCCTACCCCTCCCAGTATCTTGGACAGTGTTTGGAGGTCCAGGAGCACATGTCATTGGTGGTAATGGCAACTGGGCGGCAGTTTGTGGACACGTACCATAGAGGGGAGTATGAGGACAATTGTGTGAGCAGGTCTGTGCCTAGACCTGAGGACCCCCCCCCCAGGCACCCTGTCCCATCTGCCACCTCCACTTGCTTGACTACCCCTGCCAGCCTGCCTGGGGCCCATCTGATAGTCCTGAAGTGGTTTGGAGACCCAGGGGCCCTTGGCAGGAGGCAGCAGGGATGCTGTGGAAAGTAGGATTTGAGTGGAGTCATGGCAGGACAGGGTCATCAGTAATGGCTGATGGTAGCGAAGCCAGGGTTACACTTACACCCTGTCGCCCTTGCCCCTGCTGCCGTCCCCACTCCTGCCTGAGAACTCCCTCTGCAACAGCCCAGCACAGGGACATATGTCAGCACCCAAGACAGGCAGGCAGGAGGCAGGACAGGGCTGGTAGCACAGGAGCCGTGAGTGACTGAGGGCCTTCTGCTGCAGCAAGTTGGCAGCTGTTGTGGGGAGGCCCAGCATTTCCTGCAGGGGCAGCCATTTGCTTCTACTCTGCTGAGCTTCACTGCCTGTCTCTTCTCGCTTCCACCACACACACCTTCTACCATCCCAGTCAGACCCCACCCCTCTAATAGCCAGTTTTTCCAATGCACAGATGCAGGGACAGGCAGACAGCCAGGCAGGCAGATGGCAGGCTGTTTGGGGCTGACTGCTGAGTGGCCAGGTGGAGCGCAGACCTCAGGTAAGTTTGCTGCTGGCTGGCACAATGGGCTTTAACAGGGTACACAAGGCAGGGCATGTAGGTGTGGGAGATTAGGGAGTAAGAACCAGACCACTGATGTCTGTCCTCTCCTACCTCTGCCAGCCCTGTAACAAACTGCCTGCCAACTCTTGTGGACCATGCTGGAACAGACCATAGTGGTGTGAAGTGAGGACATCGGGGCCTCTGCTGTAGCACTCCTTCTCCCCGTGGCTGACATGTTAGCATCACCTTGGAGTCTTGTGCCTGGAGCAACACAAGTGTGAAGAGCAGCAGGTAAGGACTGACCTGACCCAATATGCACAGGGAAAGAGCTCAGAACCTGGAAGGCAGAAGCACTGGGGATGGAGAAGCCACCAGGGCCCAGGTTCTGCTGCCAATCCTTATCCTCAGTGACTCTTTGTGTTCCTTGGTGGAAATCAAATGGTAGGTGTGGAGCCTGTATCTTAGAGCAAATGGTAGAGATCTGCTGTCCATTTGGGGTAGGTGGAGGCAGGCTGGGCAGTAGCCCCAGAAAGCCTGGGACTAGCGTGAGGAGTTCTGTTTGTGCAGAACAGTGCTCTGGCCTGGTTCCCTTTTCACAGTCAATCTCCAGGCATAACTCCCGGCTCTGCCTCCTTGCCTGGGCACGGGGTGCAGAAGGTGTTGTGTAAAAGTCACATTTCCTCTGTGTGCTATGGTGCCCTGGTCTTTAAAATCTGTGGTCTCTAGGGCAGCTACTCTCCATAGCCCACTGTGGTTCAAGTCCTAGGAGGGGCACCTGGAGGCGTGGCCTGCAGGACCCCAGGACAGCTCAGGGCCAACACTTAAGAAGCACTTTTGACCAGCTTGGGGTGGGGCAGGGCTTTGTGCCACCAGTGTTTCTCTGGGTGTTGTCAAAGTGTTGGTGCTATAGGATCCCGGCCTCAGGCATCCCCACCCCCAAAGCATAGACATTCACAGTGATATTTAGTCATGTGGGAATGGTCACTCAGCCTGCTCTCTCTCCCATTTCAAACCATTACCATGCCAGCACTGTGGGATTCCTGGCTGCCATAAATTGCATTAGATGACTGTGGTATTTCTCAGCCTTCCTTGCATCCTGAACTCAGTCTGTTCCATTCACTCACCAAGCAAATCACTTGTTACTTGAATACAAAAACCCTGTCACAATGTCTGTATTTAAGAATCACATGCAGGGGCCGGTGCTGTGGCTCACTTGGTTAATCCTACGCTTGCAGCACCGGCATCCCATATGGGCGCCGGGTTCTAGTCTTGGTTGCTTCTCTTCCAGTCCAGCTCTCTCCTCTGGCCTGGGAGTGCAGTGGAGGATGGCCCAAGTGCTTGGGCCCCTGCACCCAATTGGGAGACCAGGAGGAGGCACCTGGCTCCTGGCTTTGGATGGGCGCAGTGCCAGCTGTAGCGGCCATTTGGGGGGTGAACCAATGGAAGGAAGACCTTTCTCTCTCTCTCTCTCTCACTGTAACTCTACCTGTCAAAAAAAAAAATAAATAAATAAAAAGAAAAGAACCAAATGTGCCTTCAGAGGGTCAGCCATGTGGCTGGATTTCTCCCAGTTCTGGTCCTGTGGTTTCATGGCCAGGGGTGGAATGGAAATGAAAGGCAAGGCAGAAAAAAAAAAAAAAAAAAAAAAAAAAAGAAAGGCAAGGCAGTGCGAGTAGGTTCATCAAGACCTGGCCGACCTCCATCTTTCCAAGGGGACTAACTTTTTATTTGATCCTTTCTATTCTGTGGTGAAGCCTGTAGACTTTGAATTTTTAGTATTGTATTTTCAGTTCTAAATTTTCCCTTTGGGTTTTCTTTTTATATTTGTTTTGTGACTTCCTGTTTCTTTGTTGAGCTTTCCATTTTTTTTTCCATTTGTTTCAAGTGTGCTTGTAACTGTTCATTCATTCAAAAAAAATTTTTTTTATTTGACAGATGGAGTTAGATAGTGAGAGAGAGAGAGAGAGAGAGAGAGAGAGAGAGAGAAGGGTCTTTCTTCTGTTGGTTCACTCCCCAAATGGCCAGCGCTGCGCCGATCTGAAGCCAGGAGCCAGGTGCTTCTGCTTGGTCTCCCATGTGGGTGCAGGGACCCAAGCACTCGGGCCATCCTCCACTGCCCTCCCGGGCCACAGCAGAGAGCTGGACTGGAAGAGGAGCAACCGGGACTAGAACCTGGCACCCATATGGGATGCCAGTGCCGCAGGCAGAAGATTAACCAGAGCAATGGCGCTGGCCCCTTCATTCAAGCATTTTTTACCACAAGCACTTTAAATTCTTTGTTGAAAGGTTACAGCATCCCTGTCATCTCATTTTTAGTGTCTGTTGATTCTCTTTTTTCACTCCCTTTGATATATTCCTGGTTCTTGGCATAATAAATTATTTTCTATTTAAACTTATACATGTTTTATTCTTTTGATAATTTGAATCTGATTTGCATATTACATTTAACTGGAATGGTATATCTAACCCATTTACCGTGTGTGTGTGTGTGTGTGTGTGTGTGTGATTGAGACTTGCATATGCTCGATAGGAGTAAATATTCAGCATAGTTGTTTCGATGATTGTTTTTTAATTCTTAATTTATTAAATTATAAAAAGTTATTTATTTGAAATGCAATTCCAGAGAGAGGGAGAGAGAGAGAGAGAGATCGTCCATCTGTTGGTTCACTCCTCAAATAGCCACAATGACCAGGGCTGGGTCAGATAGAATCCAGGAACCAGGAGCTTCCTCTGGGTCTCACACAGAGGTGGCAGGATCCCAAGTACTTGCACCATCTTCCTCTACTTTCCCAGACACATTAGTAGGGAACAGGATTGGAAGTGGAACAGCTTGGACTCAAACAGGCACCCATGTGTGATGCTGACGTCACTGGCAGCAAGCTTTACCTGCTAATGCAGCCCCAGTTTCAATTGGTATCTTAATTGATAACTTACTGATATCTTAGTCCCTTTTTTTCTGCTGAAATGAGCACAGAGGTTACGTGAAAGACCTAACTAGCAGATCCAGGTCTGAAGGATCAAGTCATCCCATGAATAATTTGTTTTTTCTATTTCATCATGATGATTTTCTTTGGATTAGGATTTGCCTGGCTTCAGCTTAGCTAGATCTAAACTTCTCTTTACTGTGTTCTGTTTGTTGAAATGCAGCTGTTTAAAAGTGTTTAAAAGAGAGGAAGTGATTTTGATATTACATAGTGTTGTCATCTGTAGCTTACAGTTTAACTCTTTAAAACCCATCCCATCTGTGAATTGGCATATCTGTTTCTGTTTATGAAAATGTCCTTAATTTCTTGATGAAACAAACTATTTTCAATTCTGATTGCTATGAAAAATAACAGAAGATAATTTGCTTTGTAATGAGCTTAATAGTTCAATTGCATACGGGCAACATGCTATATATGAAAAATTACTAACTGAACTACAGGCATTAAATACTGAAAAATTAATGGTTTATTATAATTTATTTTATTTAACAATCTTGGAAGTTGGCAGCCAGCAGCAGTTCCATTGTGACTGATTTCAGGTCGGGGAACAGAAGACCTCTGTCCATTGACCTGGAGGAAAGTATTGAATTTTGGACTGGTATTCCCCAACTCCTGCAGTGGAATCCAATATAAGAGATTATGGGTGCTGAAAATAAAAAAAAAAAGGAGCAAGAACATTTAAATATTGTAATGTCCATGCAGTAACAGCCATGTTGAGTGGCCCTGGTCAATGAGCTGAAAATGAAGCCAGTGAGGCCAATTTTAGAAAGATCCCTGTACATGTGCTATCAAAAGCATGCATGTATTTTACCTACTCCAGTTGTTGTCTGTGTGCTCAAGGGGCAGCCCTCTTGGGTGGAGGTCTGAAGGCCAAGAATCACTATGGGAGTGGATGACCCCGGGGACTTAACTTAGTGCCAATCAGTGGAGTGACAGCACTTGTTCTTCTTCTTGCCCGTTTCCCTTCCTCTGTCAAGGTTACTGCAGACAGTCGATTGCTTGAGCAGATAGTCACCAGACATTACAATATGTAAAAGTTCCTGCTCCACTTTTTGTATTCAGCTCCCCTAATTTCTCTTGGATTCCATTGTTGGGGTAGGGCAAATACCAGCCCAAAATTCAATATTTTCCTGTAGGTCAAAGGAACTTGCCCTCACCCATGTCTACTTGTTTGTGGCCTGTGATAGGGACATGGCAATACAGAGGCACATGGGGTGTTTGGGTTGGAAGATCTCAGTGTGTAGCTTCCTAGTGCATGAGTTAGCCTAGCCCTAGTTGCTGACTGTTGTTTTACCTCATGGGGAGACTTAGCTCTTCATCTATACATGTAAGGTGCTGTTTGCAAATGGTGGGGTGGTTGAGAAGTCCCACTCAACATCCTCTTACATAGCCACCGTGCAGGTTGATGTGGTACTCAAGGTGACAATATCAGGCACATCATGGGAAGGCTGCAATTATTGCAGTGCTAAATTTATTTGACACTTATTCTTTGACTTAGAGGCCCTGTTCCATTTCCACTGTTTTACATAGTACTGTGATAATCATTAGAGCTAGAACTTGTATCTTTTTGAAGGATTTCTGTAAATGAAATTTCTAACTCATTTATTTGTAAGACTTTTGATGCATGAAACTAAATTGACTGTCATGAAGGATGGATTTTTGGCCTCCCCGATCTACACTGATGTTGAAAATTACAAATATTTTATGAAAACGTGACAGAGTTCGCTAGGGGACTGTGGGGCCTGAAGTCATCTGGAAGTGTCTTCCTGCATCTGCCACCAGACTCAGCACCCTCCCGTGTCGTGTCTGCATAGCTAGAGTCTCAGTATTTCTGAAGCTGCACTGGAGTTGAGCCTGACTGGGTGAGAAGGAGGAGTGTGCAGGATGCTGTTGGGGATGAGGACCATGTCCTGTTTCCTTGTTTACGCCGTCTTTCCCCATAGGGCCGGAAGGAAGGGGCCAGGTTCTCTTTACATCCACTTCCTGAGTGGCCAGGGCTTCTATATCAGATCCTCCTTTGCAGCTCAGGCTCATTGCAAGCAAGGAGATGGTGCTTGTGTGTGTTGTATGAGGAGACATTGTCCCATCAGGAGAGACAGACTAGGAAGCATTTCCCTTGTGACTCAGGGGTGGCAGGTGTAACTGTAGACTAGCTTCCTTCCTCCAGACCGCATTTTCACAACTCCTGCAGCATCAGGCCGTTTGCAAGGCTGTGCCAGGACGATGTGGGGCACTGTCAGGACTCTCAGTGCTGCTTCTTCCCTGCTGCTGACTAAAGGAATAGATCCTGGGGCCTCAGCTTTCTGT